AGAGGAGAGGAGAGGAGAGGAGAGGAGAGGAGAGGAGAGGAGAGGAGAGGAGAGGGATTAACCTCTTTTTAAACCATGTTAATAGGTACCTATGTGACGCAGTGACTTCTAGCCCAGGAATCTGGCAAAGACTGCCTGAAAGCTTGCAGCTGATTTCAGGATAGAGCAAAACATCTTCATAGTACATTGTGACATCTACTGTAGAACTGATAGAGCAGAAATCATGTGACACTCTTCCACTTTCCCAAATCTCATTTGTTCAAATAAATAATTGCTTTTGGGAAAGATTCTTACTTTGAAGTTTTGTAGCACTTTTCTTTTTTTCTCTTAATGGGAAAGCAAACAGTTTATATGTAAAAATGCTTTTGTGGGAGAAGCAGGAGATGCTGCCAGTAATGTTTCCTGGTAAGATCTCTGATTTTTTTTTAAATGGATTATGGATTATCTTGTGATGGATAGCTCTCTTGTAGAAAATAAACTGTCTGACTACTCCATGTGACTTTGTATTCATTTGCTTTTGTTTACAGGGACCATATTTATACTGTTGATATGGACACATCACATACAGAAGAAATTTATTTTAGCAAAGTAAGTAGCTTTTATCATCACCCAGAAACCAAGGACACTAGAACAAGCTTCAAATAAATAGGATGATGACATTGTTTTAAAGAACTTCCAGCACCGCTGTAAAACTGTAATAAGCAAGCAAGATGGCATTGCTAATCATATTTGGGGAGAGCTAGAATAGCAATCATGTCCTCTGTGAGTTTCTGATAAGTGGTTTAGCTGGGCTGATAAGCAATCTGTACTGAAATATGGTGAGGTCCCTGATGGAACATCTGTCAAACATCTATTCATTTATATGCAGCAGTTTTCTGTAACAGCTATACTATCCCAATTAAGTCTACTGAAACTTTCATCATAAGAAGCAAGTTACATATTTTCATGTGCACAATTTGTTTTCACTCGTGCAAGAACCGACTGAATAAAATCTTGCTATAAAACCACTTTGTAGATGTATTCTCATTATCTCCATGGGAAGTTTCATTCAAACGAGAAAAACTTTGTCTGCATTACTACACTGGATATTAACATGAACGTACTGAGAATTATCACCCTTCAGCTCCTTTGCCTTGCATTCATATTGTGTAACATATATTAAACACAGCCTTGGGCCCACAGAAGTTCATACAAATTTGGACACTGGATGAATTCCACTGGAGAAGGGGACAGTGCTTCATTATAACTATGAATGATGCTGAAGATGGACTTTTTTACTCATGAAAGAGTGATGGCACAAGCTTATAATGGGAATTAATATTCATGGTTACTCTTTCAGCTTAGACCCCTCCATGAATGCACAGTGCCTCAGTTTACTGATCAGGAACTGTCAGAACTGTCAGAACTATCATGGCAATAGTGTCTAAGGTGATGCCATCTTAGGCCATGTGATTTTAAACAAAGTTTTATTATAATTAATAAGCCTTTCACATTTGACCATTATTTAAACTCATCTCAAAAAAAAAACAACCAAAAAACCTGGGTACAGGATTTACCTGTAAATCTTCTTGAGGAAGAGTGTTAGCAGATAAAGTCAGCAGTGTCTTGACAGTTGAAAAACTCTTAGAGCTTGTTAGCTGAATTAAAGTGGTAAGATTTACCTGAATTTTATTTCTTTCCATATATAACATGTTGTCTTTCAGAATGCATATTTCATTTAGAATCCAGTGAAGGTTCATAGTCCATAAATAGCAATAGTAATAGATAGTCCATAAATGATAATTCTCATTTGTAGAGCAATATGAATTAAAAGAAGAGAACATCTAGTACTTTTAAGAAAAGTACACAGTTTTCAAAGTTTGCCTGTTGTTGAATTCTGTTAGTTTAGGCTTTAAAGATAGAGGGATGGGTTTCCAGTCTCTTGAACTGGAGACAAAACTAACTCCACACCACTAAACCTTCATTTTTGTGGAGAATTAATCATGGAGAAAGTGCAAAAAACTTTCAGTAAACTTTCAGAAGATAATCTCCCCTAAGGGACTTCTACTTCTGAAATCAAAAGTAAAAAACCTCTGAGTTCTAATTGATATCTTTCTTTATTCTTCCAGAAATTGACATGGAAATCTAGACAAGCTGATGTAGACACATGCAGAATGAAGGGAAAACATAAGGTAGGTAATTTTCATTTCTTCTGCAACTGCCACTTTAGTTGCATCAGTATTATCTCCAGCTGCTGTCTGTGATGTGGAATGGATCGTGCCATTCACTTCTTACCAGTAATTGCTTTTTCCATCAGCTTTCTGAAGGCTTTAATTTGCAAAAATAGTTCACTTAGAATGTGATAAAATATTACGACAGAAGCCACAGCAATATCTGAAATACTTAAAGGCATTGAGCAGGTCCCAGTGCTTAGTGCACCAGTCTTGCTTCAAGAGCCAGGTGCTGCTGTCCATCCTCCTGTGGGAATGCACTGAGAAGTTTGGGTAAAAATGAATGTGGGGCTGTAGAAGGACTGTTTCTCACACCAGTTTCACCCTCCTGTAACCCATGACTGGCACAAGTGGTATCAAAGTTAGATGTGGACTCTTTGATTCTTTGCTTCCCCGTTTAATTACAGAAGCTTCATGCCAGAACATTGTAGTGGTGATGTCACTGTCTGACCACAGCACAGGTGACAAGATCAGATTTCTTTGCTCTTCAGGAAAGCAACAGTTTTCAAACAAAATTCACCTTTGTCGGCAACAGCAAACTAGGAGCTGTAACATGAATGCTGTCTCTTCAGTTCTTTGTAATTTTTAAACTACTTGAATATAAATTAATTAAAATTTGCTTATTGTCAAGTAAACATTGACAAATGTTTAATAACATTTAGCATGTTATTAAAGTCATGTCAAATGTCTTTATAAGTCAAAATAAGTCAAATATTGTCAAAATAAGGCCAGAGTATCACAGTGAGTACTGGCCAAATTAATTTTAAACCTGACTATGAAATATCCCTGCTTAAAAATAAAAACAAATACTCAAAATACAGTAGTTGAAATAATTTTTATTCTTTTCCTTCAGGATGAATGTCATAACTTTATTAAGGTTCTCCTAAAAAGAAATGAGGACACACTGTTTATCTGTGGAACAAATGCATTCAACCCTTCTTGCAGGAACTACAAAGTATGTAATCTGCATGTGGAATTTCTCTTATGCCTTGTTTTTTGGTTGGATTTATTGTGACTGTGTTGGCAGCAGCATGAGGTTGTTATTCAGCTATGCACCATTCAACTCTGAAATATTTGTCCTGACTTGTTTCAGTGGTACCGAGTTCAGTGTTGATTGGATTTCTGAGAAAATCTCAGACTGAATAGTTCTAGTTCTTTGGAACTCCTGCACATCAAGAGTATTGCCACTTTGCATTGCCCTCCATAGGTGCAGAGCCCTTCAGATCCCTGCTTGGGGATGTGGTCACTCCTCAGAAAGTTCCTCAGCTTGTCACTGACACTCACATCAAATCACAGACTAATATTGGAGGTTACTTCTGAGTAGCAGGTTTTAAAATTTCTGTTGTACTGTTCTCAATCACAAAACGAGTTCTCAAGATGCTGGAGGGCATAGCAAGCAAAACCTGAGTTTCTTGTGAACCCCCCATGTGGAAGTGATGGCAGAATCCTTCCATGACAGCAGATCTCCACAAGGACATGTACAGCAGGACATGGTGTATTCCTCACTTGCTGGGGATCTGCAAAGCCACAACGTTGTCCAGAGCAGTGTTGAGACTGCTGGTCCGTGTGTACTTGACATTAATGCCCTGAAGCCAATTTATTCCTTTGGCATAGTGCATCCCAGTAGTCTCCATTCCAATAGGACACATTTACTGAAATATTTCCCGTTTTCTTAGGATTTCACCATTATATTCTTATATAACTCCCAACAGTGAATGTCTCTGGAGTAGTTTTGAAATTAATTTATTTAGGCATTTGACATCCACACTCTGCTTTTCTAGGCACATCCACACATCCCACAGGTCTTTTTTCTGGAAAAACAAAATTCAATAAAATAAAATGCTGCTCCTGACAAACCCACAACTGTCATTCAGGTTTTGGGTTCAGAGTTACTGTGAAAAAAAAGAATAAAGATAACATCCAGGAAAACTACTTCCCTAGTGGTATTCACTGTGAGTGCTGCTCTTCCTTGATTTTTGTGCAATGATGCTTTACCTCATTTAGCCACTATAATGGCTGCAGTTTAGAAAACACAGGAGGGAAGTGCAGGGTAGTATTTTCTTCCAGTCTGCGGAGGAAGAACCAAATTTGAGTAAGAAAGCTTGTGTCATGGTGACTGTGAGGAACAGTTAGATGGTCTATTAACAGCTGTTTCTTTTATTCTTTCTTTGCCTGCTCCTAGTATGCAGTGAAGCTTCTTGATCTCAGGGCTGTATCTAGTCTTCTAGTACAGTTTGTAATTTTTTATCTCTGAATGCCATTAATGAGGCTAACAAATCTCAGCCAGTCTCCTTGCGTGGAAATTGTCTTTTAGATACAATTACAGATTTCTTTGGCATACTGATGTGAGGCATATAAATGGCCTTCTCCTCCTTATTCCAGAGTTTTCATCCCCCTCTCTGCAGGGCTGGATAGTGATCTCTCTGGCAGTCTTCAGGAGGCCTCTGCAACACCTACCCTGACTTTTCCTCCATGTATCACTTCTTTATACAGAGAGAGAGCTAAACATGTGACAAAGAGAAAGCAGGGCTGCCCCTCAAGCCTGCAAGTGGCCGTGAGGATGAGCCCAGGGTGTGGAGCTTGGTGCAGGAAACGTCACTCAGGACTCTAACTCATTTCCTCTCACTATCACATGGAATGCTTTTCAGCCTTTGAGTAAACACAACTAACTGCCCTCAGAGTGGATTTTGACAGGAAGGATACATGACAGAAAACAAATGATCACAAATCATCCTCCAAAGGACTTGGTAGCTGTAACATACAAATTAAAAGTTGATTTAAGTTGATGGTGCTGTATGGGTTATTTCTCATGCTCTGAATCTTTACTGTATGTGATCTATACAGTATGAGCTGGACAGGTTGCCTGAATATGCTACAAAGGTTCTTATTCCCAAAATACAGTAATATAAGCATCTTAAAGAGGTAAGAGGTGTGCGATTTTCCCTTAGCTCACCAAACCTTCTTGAACTTCATGTAAAGTCAATCTGTATATTTGTGTCATTATCAGTGCCCAGGGTGAATTTATTTCCCAGGAGTTACATATAAGCCTCAGAATTTACAATTGCTGCACAGATTAATTGTTGCCTGCTGGTAAGAGGATTCTCTGTGACACAGACTCAACTGGTATAGTAAAACCTGAAGAGCATCTTTCTGAATATGCAAATCAAGGAAGAGAGCACCACTGTTGAGACTAGAGCAGAAGGATCTCTGGACTTGGGGGAGAAAAATGCACACAGAAATAATTGTCCTAGTGTTGTTTCTTCTGAATGCTGTGGTTTGCAGTCTTTTCTGGGTATAAGAGTGCTTCTGTTGGGTCACTGTTGAGGATAAATTTTGGAGCCTTGCCAGAACCACAGACCACATAGCCTGCTACAGTTCAAAACGAAACTTGTGTGCAGATAAAATACAGACTGAAGACTTTTGTAAAATGTGTCAGGGTGAGAAAGATTAGCTCCAAAATAATGCCTGACTTACTAGACATAATTTTTTCAGACTTATTTTATTTAATGCCATGATTTTTGTCAAGTTTTTACTTCACAGTCAGAAATAGAGTTAGAGAATGGGCCTTCTCCTCTGCCCGGAAAAGAAGAAGCACTGTCATAAGCCTCATCCTGGGTAAGAAGTTTTGTTTGTTTGTTTCTCTATTTGAGGAGCTCCCTTTGATTTTTCAGATGGATACCTTGGACTATCTGGAAGAGGAATTCAGTGGAATGGCCAGGTGCCCCTATGATGCAAAGCATGCCAACGTTGCATTGTTTGCAGGTAAAATGATGGAGATAAACTTTTTACTTTCTGTCCTGCAGCCCAGGCTCAGGATAATACTGTGCCTCTTGCTTGAGCCCAGAATGCCCAAATCTAAAAGGTGTCAAAGGGAGTGAGCAATGACTAAAAAGAGCAGGGCATAAGGAAATCTCTAGCAAAAAAAGCCTTCCCTTTCTCTGGAACTAACTTCACTGTCATCAACATTGCATGAAGCCACAGTTTCCTTGATCAGTATTTCAGTACTTCCTGTATTCTTGATAATGTGACCAGTGTGAGGCACCATTTCTAGCTGCATCCAACTTCTGTGAACGTCAAGGGAAGTCAAGGCTTGTGTAAGCTTTAATGAGGATTAAGCAGGATATGCTTTTTAACAACTCTAAGCCTAAGCTAACATTCTTAATAAAAGGAAGTCAAGGAAAATGCTGTGGCATGCCCTTTTCTAGATCTAGGAGGAAGGGGAAGGTGATTTTTTTGTTGTTTTTTTAACTGAAAAATCTTAATATGGTCTTACCAGCTGCTGTAGACAAAAGGGGAGAAGTGTATTGGCTAGTGGTGATTTATGCTGCATGCAGAACAGTGTTAACTGTGATTTCTACTACAATAGTTTAAAAAAGTGGGATCTTATAAATGGGGTTAATTTTGGATGTTGATTGTGTGGTACTTTTATATATCTCTTCAGGAATCCCTGATTAAATTATTTCTTTATCGAACTTCTCTTAGTGTGAGCCCTGCTGATCTTTTTTTAGATCCGGCTGTTAGATTGGTGGTGAAAATAATAAAGACATCATCCGTGATAATGCGAGTCCTGTTCAGCAGGTGTGCTGCTATAAAACAGAGCCTGGGTGCTCACATGGAAATAACTGAGCTATTCCTCTGAAGATTTAAGAATGTGCAAGTATTTCAGCCATTCTCTAATGAGTTTGTAGCCAAAGGGCTCTATTAAGCACTACTATTTTTGAGGTATCATCATCTGCCTCACAAAAGAGAGATTTTATAACCTGTTTCAATTTTTTTTATATATTTTTTTTTTTAAATCTTTATAGTGCAAATAAGTGGGATCTTTTGTTTCAAGAATAGTGATGACGATAGCGGTAGTATGTGATTTCTTAATTACAGTCACAGGCAATTAGAAATACATAAAAGAATATATAAAGAAATATACAGTAGAAATTCTCCAGTTGTAGCAAGTAATTCATAAAGCATGGAAAGAGAGAAAGTCCTTTAGGGAAATATTTTTCCATGTCTCTCAGACTCCCTGTCCTTAGTGCAGTCTGAATGACCTCTCAGAAAGAACTTTCTCACTGTACTGGCCAAGAGTTTATGACCAGCCTATTGTAAACATTCACTTTGAATGCAGATGAAGTTCAGAAAGATTACTCCAAATTTCTCAGTGAAGAAATCCTTGCATTATTTGAAATTAAAGAGAATATTTATAGAAGTGATCATACTCCTCCATGGTGATTCAGAACAAATTTGATACAGTTCAAATAAATATTTCTAGACTATGCCCCATAAATATGCTAGCTTCAGAAAATCACTGTAATATATGTCTTACATGTTGGTACCCATGCTAAGTTTTCAGAGTGCAATGAAAAGCAGTTTCAGAACAGTTTAGGGCACAAATCCAGGTCATCTGAGTTTGTTGGATGCACTTACATGAATATGGCTCATCTTGCTATTACAGCTGATATGTGCAAATTGTAGTTAGTCACAGGAACTTGGCAGGAAAAAAAAAATAGGAGTGTGGTTGTATTAACATGAGTTCAGACATCCGTATCTCAACAATTGAGCTTTTTATTTTTTTATTCTATTTTAATTTGGGGAGGGGGGGGAACGACGACACGACATGACATGACATGTTGTAATTACTTTTTCTGTTTTGCTAAGAAAAAATGATCATTCTTAAGTAGCCAAATAAGGACAAGACTTGCATGAGTCAGAACAAAGCATACAGTACTGCTAATAAAAAACATTCTGAGTTTTAAATCTGGAGCTGAAATTTCATAAACTCACAGGGTTCCAAGGGTTGGAAGGGAGCTCTGGAAATCATAGAGAGCCCAATGCCCCTTGCCAGGGCAGGGTTACCTACAGCAAGTGACACAGGAATGTATCCAAATGGGGTTTGAATGCCTCACAGTGTTCTCAGTGTAAAGAAGTCCTTCCTTGTCTTGAGGTGGAACTTCTTGAGTTTTAATTTGTGCCCATTGCTCCTGGTCCTGTCGCAGGGCACACTGAAGAGCTTAGCACTATCTACTTGGCAACCTCCTTTGAAATAGCTGTATGCTTTAATGAGATTCCCTCTCAGTCTTAAATTAAATGGTGTCTGAAAGTATAAGGAGGAGAGCTTGGAGGCAATAGAAACCTCTCTGCTTTTTCTTGGGAATGTCCTCAGTACTGGTGCCTTCAAGGTACCAACATAATCTCTATCCGAGGAGATGTAAACAATTCTGATTTTTATGCAGACACAATAGAGACACAATTTTGTGGGCTCGTGTTGCACCACTTGTGCTTTAGCAGACATCATGTTCCAACAACTTTCTCACACATGAAAACAATCCTGGTGCAGTTACCATGACCTGCAAACAGATTAGATAACAAAAAAAATTTTAAAATGCTGTGGAATCTTGTGCTTTTATGTCCTTATAGTTTTGTATATTTTGGTTGTCCTTGGGGTGCCATTTTGTAAGCCCTTTCTTATCACTTGTCCTCCATTCTTTAAGAGAGAGGAATGCATAATTCAAATGGGAAATGCCTAAAATGCATGCTAGAAAAGAAATATTGATGGGTAATCCTCCTCCATCTCTCTTCATTCCTGTTTCGTCAGGGCTCCCAGCATGCTATTTAATCTTTTGTTAGTGATCTTTGGCAGAGCAGAAGTGCTCTCAAGGGGAGAAATCTTTGTAAGTGTCAATTAGCTGACAGTCTTCAAGCCCTGTCTGGTTTGCACTCCCAGTTAAAATTAACAATTCTGTTATATTTGTTTTGCTGGCATGCCTAGGCAGAATTTCTGAGCACTGAACTGGTGACATGTGATTGTCAGTATCATGTACCTAAACTGAAGAAGAATTATTCCATAAGGGTATTTTCTTCCACAACATCCCTCTGAAATTACCATTTTGCAAAGTGGCGACTTGCTTGTTCAGTACTCAGTTCCATTTACCTAGCTGGATTTTTTTCCTTCCCTCCAGTGTTCCTAAGGAGACTGTGATGGCTTTGTTTCCCCTGCCCATCTGACTGATGAGAGAAGAAGCAATTGTATTATTTCTAATGCTCCTCCCCCCTTGTTTCTTCTTTCTGTCCTCCCCAGAGGGAAAGCTGTATTCTGCCACAGTGACCGACTTCCTTGCAATAGATGCAGTCATATATCGGAGCCTTGGAGACAGCCCAACTCTGCGGACAGTTAAACATGACTCCAAGTGGTTGAAAGGTAGAAAAACAAACAAGGCAAAAAAAACAGCACCTCTGATGAGAGTCTTGGGTTTCTGGCAGGCCTCTTTGTCAATTCATTTCACCAATGTTTTCTGGCAGAAAGAGGGAAGTAGATTGCATCTCTTGCTTACTCTGATCTGTTTATCTCTTTCTCTCTTCTCCTGACCCCAAGTTACTGGATTTGACAGAAGCTGTGAGCTGGGTAGATCAGGATATGTATTCCAGTGAGCTTTCCAAGCTGAAATCCACCAGTTTACGTCTGTTGGATGGAAAAGTTGGAGCTTGCAGAGCTCTGTGTGCTTGGGCTGTGTTTGAAAATATTCCTGCCACAGCACTGTTAGGTAACAATCAAGGCTTTATGAAGTATAGAAGGTTTGTCCTGTAATGTTAAGATTCATTAATGAAACTAAAATTATGGGAATGTTGCACAAAAGCCTTTCTGTTACAGTTCTTAAGAATTGTACTGCTGCCATTGAATTATGCAATTTCTGTGCTCTAAATGCCCTCATTGTTAAGAGTGGTGTTGTTTAGCTTCATGTAGGTGTTAAGAATTGTTAGCATTTGGAGTGATTTTAACAGAGAGCAAAGCCATAGTTTCAAGTCTTTTTCTGCATGCAGAAGTGTTTTGCCAGGTGTCAACTTCAGCTGTCCCACTTTGCTTGCTGCTACAGACACGTGTGGGCAGGAACAGTTATGTGGTTTCTTATTCCCTCAACTCACAGCCTGCATGCCATGAAGAGCACTGCTTGGACCCCTCAGGCATACAGTTATAAATGCCTGTTTACCTTTCCTCTTACTCCATGCAGGGCAGACGTATTAGTGGCAGAGACTCAGCTACTCTGCAGTGATGCTGCACGGGCTTGTTCCCAGCTCTCCTGTCCCCAGACAGTGATTCTTCAGCAGCAGTGATTTGTTTGTTCTGAAAACTGATCAAGTTTGTCAAACACAGACGTTTCACTTCCGGATGTTAAGTGTGAATGTATTTGGCTTCTCTTTGCTGTATTTCTCTGTATCCTGTACATGGTGTCTAAAAGTCTTGGGTTGCTGTTTTGTTGTTGTTTTTTTTCCTAGAACCATACTTTGTTCAGGCAGTTGACTATGGCAATTACATATACTTCTTCTTCCGGGAAATAGCAGTGGAGTACAACAGCATGGGAAAGGTAAGGGCAAAAACATTGCCTTGAATGACTTTGTCAGATTCAGGAGGGGGAAAACTTATGCTATTCTTGGACCAATGCTGTTATGAGTGACCTTGAAATGAGAACCATAAATCATGATGACAAGGTCAGCATTTTGAGAAGATTCCTATTGCTCAAGCCAAAAGGTTGGCTGGAGTGAAACATTGCACTGTCTTGAAAGGAAAATGTGTGGTTTCTTGCAGTGATGGTGTATGCTAGGGTCTCTTTTCTGAAATTACAAAAAGCACAAGGCTAATGTAGTTAGTTCAACATAGTAGATAATTGTTAAAAATGGACTCCAAAGCAGGAAGACGTTTTTCTGTAAGAAATATGAATTAGAGTGCTGAGTAAACAGAGGCAGGAATTTTGTGCTCTGCCATTCTGAAAAGAACAATTAAACACTTTCTGCATTTTTTCTAATGTCACAATAGCTTTCTGACAAAGCAGTTAGAAAAGCTGACCAAGGTCACAAAGGTGGAGAGCAGGAATAAAAGCCCAATGAGATTTGCATAGTTTTTAAGTGCTGAAAACACAAGAATCAGAGCAGCAGTGTGGGTTGCAGGGATTGTGAATATGAAATGTGCTTTTGTTTGGGGAAATAGAAAGCTAAGCAGTCTGTATGGAAATGAGTTTTATATGGGTTGAGAGCAGATCTCCTGAAGGATTTATGGCTGTATGGTAAATGCCACAGTCTTATCTTTCATAGCACACTGTTCCAAAGCTTAATTTTTCTCTGTTTCTTATTTGTCACAGATTATAGAAAAGTGGTATTAAATTAAGCACCTTGCTGTGTTATTCCAAATGTTTTAAAAGCAGTATTGCAACGAAGTCTTTAAGTCAAGCAAACACTTAATTTTCTCCATTATTTTTGCTCTATTCCTTGCAGGTAGTTTTCCCAAGGGTGGCCCAGGTTTGCAAAAATGACATGGGAGGATCTCAGAGAGTGCTGGAAAAACAGTGGACTTCCTTTCTCAAGGCTCGGTTGAACTGCTCGGTTCCTGGCGACTCACACTTCTACTTCAACATTCTGCAGTCAGTCACAGACGTCATACATTTCAATGGCCGGGATGTTGTTTTAGCAACATTCTCCACTCCCTATAATAGGTAATAGGCACAATAACCTTTTACCTTCTATTTCCTTCATGTTTTGCTTTTCACTGCAGTTCCTTTTTAGTTTATGCGAGTGCAAGAAGTGATTGCTCATACGATGTAATTATTATGTAGCCTGTGCCTGCCAATAGTTTGTATTTAATTTTAAGGTACCCTGGTAGTGCTTACCTCATTCCTGATGACTTAGGGTGGCTTTCAGCCATTTACTATCTGGACACATCCCTCAGACATGCTTTTCTTTACATGGGAATAGTTCATACCAGCCACCAAGAAGCATTGCAAAATATGTAACTTGCAAAATATTATTCCAAAGAGAAAATACAGAATTTTTTTTTCCTCACGAAGGGCTGTGCAGACAATATATAAACTATCCTGTTCATAGCTAAACCTCCAAGAACCGTGTTATCTCGTTCTCTTTGTTTTATGCATCCCTGGTGACTCTTGCATTGATCCTTGACCCTGCATTGACCCTGCTGCCCCCTGACTCTCCTGGGAGAACCAAGGTCTTGCTGGCTGGGAAGGAAGGTCCCCAGAACGCCTATTTCATTCTTCGCATGGTTATCCAAAAGCATCCCTTCATCTGTAGAGATTTTATAACTCTTACATGTTGTGGCATGTTTCTCTGGAAGTTACTTGAAGAATAACTGTATCTATTATTGAGAACTCCCAGAGAAGTTTAAAAAACAGTAGCTTTCTAATTAAAAAGTGTTTCACAGTTTCACAGAGTAACATTTGAGCTGAAAGAGGAATTTTATTGATGAAATTCATTTAGTTTTGCTGTACCCTTTCCACCCCTTGTCAAAGCCTGACCCCAGTGAGGTCATTCACAGAACTGACTTCAAATGAGAGTAAGCCTGGGCTTGTAATGCATAATCACTGCTTTTGACATCAAAACAATAGGAACAGCAATGGAATAATTATGCCACCAATAGGGAATACAAGCTTAAATTAAGATGATCTCTTTCCATGCAATCTGGCTGAATAAAAACAGGTGAACAAATAGAGATTCAACATCAGAAAATAGATTGTATCTTGCAATTATCTCAAAATTGAGACTGTCCTCCCACTTAACTAGTATTTCCTATGGTGTGTCATGAATAATTCTTTTCCTTAAGTCTTGCATTTTAAAATCTAAATACTTGGTGTAAAAAGCAAAATGCTAGTTTATAGGCCACAGGTTTTTGCCAGACATGGAAGGTGACAGCAAGGCATATATTCCTGGAGACAGCTTATTAGCAGATCTGGCAGCCAAAATATCCTGGGGTGCATCAGGCACAGCATGGCCAGCCAGGCAAGGGAGGGGATTGTCCTGCTCTGCTCTGCTCTGCTCTGACCTCAGCTTGAGTGCTGGAGGCAGTTCTGGGTGCCACAATGTTAGAAGGATCTAAAGGTATTAGAGACCATCCAAAGGAGAGCTACAAAGATGGTGAAGGTCTTGAGGGCAAGCTCAATGAGAAGTGAACAAGGCCACTTGGCTTGTCCAGCCTGGAGGAGAGGAGACTGAGGAAAGACCTCACAGCAGCTCAGAGCTTCCTCACGAGGTGAAGAGGAAGGGCAAGCACCAGTCTCTGCTCTCTGGTGACCTGTTAGAGGGCTCGAGGAAGCTGAGTCATAGAGGTTTAGGTTGGATATTAGAAAAAATAGGTTCTTCATCCAGGGGGTGGTTGGCCACTGGAACAGGCTCCCCCGGGAAGTGGGCGAGGTTACCACGCCCGACAGACATCAAGGATCATCTGGACAATGCTCTCAGGCACATGTGTGATTCTTGGGGTGTCCTGTGCAGGAGCTGGACTTCAGTGATCCTTGTGAGTCACTTCCAGTTCTGGATATTCTGTAGTTCTGTGAAACCTACTTCTGACATAAATGCATCTCACATTCCTCCTCTACTAAAGAAAAGTTGCAACAAATACCTTTGGTCTCTAGAACAAAGTTTCCTTCTAGACTGAAGTGGAAGAGATTCCCCAGTCTGATCAGAGGTCACTGAGGTAGAAGCTAGTGCTGAGCTGTAGTCCAGTAGTTCAGAGGGGGCTCAGACCCCCTTGGCTGTGACCCACCGTGCTCCATCCTTACCACTGCATCACACTACAGACCTGCAATCTGCCACCCTCCAGAGCAAAAGGTGTTGCAGTCCTTTCAGTACAGAAATGTCTCCATCTGTGCATGGTTGTGTGTTGAGCATGGGTCTCAGCACTTGTAGTTGTGTGTAACACACCTCAAGATTTCATGGTTGGAATTTTTTTTTTTTTTTTTCATTAGGACTTAATTCAGCAATGTGAAAAATATTCTAGCTGGAGTGGGTCTTGAGCTATCTTTTAGGATGAGGTCCCCTGTGTGGCCAAATACACCCCTGACCATCTCTTACATCAACACATATATGGCTGCCTCCATTTAAAACTCCTGCTGTGTAGTATCACATTAATATAGAGCTTTGAAGTTTCCTTCCATATAAAAAGACAAATATGGGGAGATCAAAGTAAGACAACTGTTGTTTTTCTTCAGCAAAAAGCATTTTGAATTTTTTTTACTATTCAGACGGTTGTTTTTCTATCAATTTATATACCTTTAGGAGTTTAGCTTAATCCTCTGTAACAGTATTACAGCTCCTACATTTTTTCTTTGATGTATAATAACCTACTGGCTAAGAGCAGGATTGAAAGCCTCAGTCTGGATTCATGCTATTTACCCAATAAAATCAAGTGGTGGAAGTCAGACACAAATACAGTAGTTCATGTCCAAAAAAAAAAAAAAGAAAGGGGGATAAATGAATATTTCAGTTCCAAGTGACTGATCATGGTAAACCTGTAAGCCTTTCAGAAAGTATGTAGGTAAGAATATAACTATGTTTGGACAATGCTGTCATGCAGTTGCATGCAAGTATTCAAAAAGCTGAAATTTGCAATGCTATGATCTTAAAATAATATCAAATTTGCTTCTACAAGCTCTTTACATTTCATTGAGTAGAGCCAACTCCTGACCATAGCTGATTCCTTTTCATTGGGAACATTTCATGGATATCAGGCTGTTGGTGCATGAACAAATTCCATGTAAAATCCAGGTAAATGGCACATTGCAGCACACTTCCAGTTTGATTAGAACCAACTTCTGAACTCTCTGCAGTGTGTTTTTTAAGGCATGGCAGGGACTACAAGGGTTGGTACTGAGAGATGTTATGACTTAGAAGAACTTGAATTTCCAGAAACTGGGTTCTGAGTGTGACTGGCCATTACTCCTCATGCATTGCCAGTGATAGCCAGAGTTTCACCGATTCTTTCCCTTCTTCAAGATTATTTCAATTACTTCTTTTTGCAAAGGCTTAGAAATAAATTCTCTTGGCAGGAGCTGATTGGTATTCAGGCTTTTCCGTAGGGCTGTCTTTACCTGTCAATACCAGATTCAGAGTTCAGGACTGAGTAACCTGGGATAGGAAGACTTCTACAGAGCTTATTTTTTGCTCAAGATTTTATGCTTAACTGCAGAATAAGTAACAATTTCTGGGAAATGTCACTTCACAGCATCCCTGGCTCTGCAGTCTGTGCCTATGACATGCTTGACATTGCCAATGTATTTACTGGGAGATTCAAAGAACAGAAGTCTCCAGACTCCACATGGACACCGGTTCCTGATGAACGAGTACCCAAGCCCAGGTATGTTTCATGTATAGTGATATTGTTCTGTTCCTTCATGCAGGCTGCAGAGGCTTTTTGATAATTTGAACAGTCTTGCGAGGTGCAGATACAATCATACCTGTTGCAACAGTAAAGTGAAAGTTGAGTTGAATTTAGATCTAAACTATGCAATTGAGATTTTTCCACTTAAAATGAGATTTGCATAACATATATCAGGCCAGCATCAGATCCACTTGTTCAGAATAATCACTTTAGAGTGGTGTGAGTTACACAGTTGTTGCAAATTGGTTCAGTAATGGATATATCTCATTACAAAGCCTGCACCAGTTCTGCAGTTTGCTGTTCTGTGATTAACATGTGGTTTAAGTGCCACAGTGGATGATTTGTGGAAAGCAAAAAAGAGCATTCCACCAAACCGGACATTCAGTTTACCTCATTTTTCCTATGAGTTGTTTTCCCCACTTCCACATGTTTGCATGCATCTCCTCTACTACACTCTTCATATTTCTTACAAGTACCATTTCATACAAGTTGCTGTTGACAGACACTTGTTATCTCATTTCCACCGATGGCATTTTGCTCTGAGATATTGAGATGCATACAGATATATCAAATTCTTTTATCTCACTTAGGCTTTACCACTTTACTGCATGTTTTACATTGCTTGTGATATCTTAAATAATTTCAAAAGGAAAAAATAACCTTTTTTCTCACTTTACATTGCTTGTGATATCTTCAATAATTTCAAAAGCAAAAAAAAGCACTCTGTTCAGTGTTGAACGCCACAATATAAGAAAAATATAAAGCTATTGGGAGCATCCAAAGGATGCTACAAAGATGGTGAAGGGCTTAGAGGGAAAACCATGTTAGAAGTGGCTGAGGCCACTTGGCTTGCCTGGAGAAGAGGAGGCTCAAGGGAGACCTCATCACAATCCACAACTTGCTCATGAGGGGAAGAGTAGGGGCAGGCACTGATCTCTTCTCTGTGGTGACCAGGGACAGGACCCATGGGAATGGCCTGGAGTTACGTCAGGGGAGGTTTAGGTTGGACATTAGGAAAAGGTTCTTCACCCAGGGAACTGGTTGGGCGCTGGAACAGGCTCCCCAAGGGGAATGGTCTGAGAGCACCAGTCTGACAGAGCTTAAGAAGCTTTTGGACAACTCTCTCATGGCACATGGTGTGATTCTTGGGGTGTCCTGGGTGGGGCCAGGAGCTGGACTTCAGTGATCTTTGTGGGTTGGTTCCAGCTCAGGACATTCTATGAGTATGTGAAGCTCCATGGTGGACACTGAGCTTCTGCCTAACCCAAATTTGTTTTGGATTTGCCAAGTGTAGTATTACTGTGCTGTCTTTATTCTGAAGTTGTCATGCAAGCGAAGAGCCTGGAGGTGACTTGAAAATCTGGTAAAATCTGTGTCTCTTTTCAGTCTGAGCCTTAGTAATGCAGGTGTTGCAGGATTTTCTTCTCCATTTTGCAGTGTTTCAAACAAGTTGTTGACACACTGGCCTGCCTTGGGGAGTGCAAGGCTGCATGATGGCTCCAAGGTTTTTTGTTTGGGCCTTACTGAGATACATTGGCAGGGAGGGGGAGAAGAAGAAGGAAAAGTCACTCTGAGTGAGAAAGAGGAAGTTTCTGAGTTTGGGATGAGCCCATAGCAAGCTAACTGTTATGATGAAGATGGGATAATATTGCTTTTCTAAGCCTGAAGGAGATTATGTGAATTGAGAACGGTGTTTCAAGTAACATTTGGCAATCAATCTGCTTAATAGAAATAATCATTACTTGTAGCTCATATTGAAGTACCTGACAGACACCTTTGAAATAAGGTCATTTTTGTCTGTGTGTCTCAGTATGATGCAGGAGCATTACTGCCCCTAGTGATCCCAGCATTTCTCAGAACAGAGAGCCAGAACAGAGCCCTTCATGGGTGTTGCTTCCTTGTTTGGCCAGACAGCAGGGTTTGCTCGGATTTGTGCTGACTTGAATAAACCAGTTTTGAGATTAAAACAGGATTAATCCAATCATGCTATTAGGATTTAGGAGTAAATAGGCCTCCAGATTAGATACACAGAAACTGTAGACACCATGGTGCCAGAAGGTGCAGGCTGCTCCCCCGAGTTCTCTGGGAATGTTGCTTCACAGGTCAATGCCCTTGCAAGGACCTAGGAAACCAGTCATGCCCTTGATTTCTCCTTCTCTCCATCTGTTGCTAGTTCTACATGCACTTACAAAACAAAGTATTTTGGATATGAATAGGCAAAAGCACATATTGTCTGCATGTCATGTTCCTTGTGGGACCAGACTTGTTGACACAGCTAGTTCCTTTGAGTCCTATGTTACCTTCCCTACAAGGTATTTATTTACCTAATGTTCGAATATTTATCTAAATCTGAGCAACACAGATGATAGGACCAGTCCTGTATTTTGTCCAGGCTAACATTACTCTTGATGTCAGTGCCTTTACCCACATCAGAGTAGATGAAGATTGGATGAGGCAACGTTTTTATGAGTGAATGGTCCATCTTTCATCTTCCCATCTCATACCGGCTCAAAGGTTTGAAGAATCATAGTGCTCTAGAAAATGGGATCCAATGGGGCTTTTATTGAAGAAAATTACTTACACAATATTATCAACTAAAACATTTTGCTGCTTCTTTGAGATATGTCCTGTCCAGGACAGGAAGACGGAGCTACCTCTTAGGAGCAGGTAGATTTTAGAAATAGCATGAGCAGATTTGCATTTAAGTTGACAAAGAATGATAAATAACCTTTCAGTGAAAATTCTCAATGAGCTACCATTCTTAAATCATGTCACCCAAATTGAACAAAGGGTAAAACCAATGTTTACATGGGTGCTATTTGGTATGTCTTCTCCAATAGTCCATTTTCTGTCAGATGTGACTGATGTGACTGATAGAAAAGTGGCATTCTTTCATTCCTGTTAAAAAAAAACAAACAAACTTCCTTCTGTATTGTAGGGACTGCTTTTATGCCCAGAGAGAGCAGTTAATTAGGCAAGTTAGAGATCACAAAACACCTGTGCCATTGGGAAGCATCAGGCCAAATGCAGATAATCATATGCTGTGATTACATTCCATATGAGTGGATAAATTACACAGTCTGTGCATAGCACTCCTGATGAAAAAATGACTTTATGCTAGTAAGTGACACATGAAGTCCTTTTGAATGGAGGACAGAGCAGGATTTTAGGCTTCCCTTGAGGGGCTGAACAAGTCCACCACTCTTCTCAATCCTCCTCCAAGTTAAACTCCAGTAAAGCACATCAGATTTCTGAGAGCTTCATCACAAAAGGAAGCTTGCTGTTGACGTCAAATAAGTTTTCTGGCTTACTCTCTTGTTTTATATAGGCCTGGTTGCTGTGCTGGCTCTACATCATTAGAAAAATATGGAACGTCTAATGAGTTCCCAGATGATACTCTGAACTTCATCAAAACACATCCACTGATGGACGAGGCTGTGCCTTCCATTGTCAACCGACCCTGGTTCCTGAGAACAATGGTCAGGTGCGTACACCAAGCGAGCTCCTGTCCACATTGTAGCTGTCAAGTTGTGCTAATAGCCTTGCTGCAAATACACTCCAATTCTGTAACTGTCCTTGGTGTCCTGGGCTCTAATCCAGCTAGGAATGGTGGCAGAACTGAGCAGATGCTGCGGAACTCCCTGAGCAGCTTTCAAGATAGGAAAGACCTCAGTCTTTTCCAACAGTGCTGTGCTTAAACCGGATATTGTAGGAAATGCTGTGCGGGGAAGGTTTACTCACCTCTCGGCTTATGAGTCAGGGTTTGAGATGGCTCTGTAAAAACTTCAGGCAATGATCAGCGCAGGAATATGTGCACAGGATACAAACATGTCTGCCAGGATATGTTCACAGGATATGTAGAGGTCTGTCAGGTTGTGTACTGGTAAGCTTTAATGTTTGCAGAAGTGTATAGGCAGAAGTAATCACATAATCTGCATCCTTTCTATAGCAACAAGAAAAAAAATAATAACAGATGTGAATAAAGACTCATAACTCAGCAAGTGTTAAATACACCATCCCCTTCCTATCAAAACATTCCCACTCTCTGCTGTGGTCATTATACTACTTATCTACCCTCCACCAGTGAACAGAATAATGTGACTAACTTTTGCCATATTTTCCTCTCTTCCTCTGAACAAAGGTAGAGTACTGTGGTGGGCACTTAGCTGTGGAAGGGTCTGACTTAGTCATAATAGCCTATCTTCTGTCAGGTTTTTCTGTCAGGTTCTGTACCTCCAACCAAAGATGAGAGCAGCAAGCTTCTTGGAGTGCTTCCCTTTGATAGGCAATACAATCTAACTGGTACCAAACCACCACTATACTTGTTCTCAGTAAATTTTGTCATCCCAGGATTTGATATCACCTGATAGCGCTGAACGTGTTTGGTGGTGGCTGTGTGATTATTTTTAGTGAGGTAGAATGGTGTTTTAGTGTCTCACTATTGCAATGACACAGCTTTTCCTGACAAAAAAAGTTTAACCTTGTTCAGCTGCTTTTAATGTGACAGAGCTTGAAATTTTAAAAACAGTTCACTGTGCTGATTCTCTATCCGTGTCCAAAGAAATCACCAGGCTTTTGGGAGGATAATTCCTAAATGCCCTCAGACTCCTAGCACCCCTTCAGCTTTCTGAACTTCTAGACACTTCTGAACTTCCAGACGCTTCTGCTCACTGTTGGATGTGTGGGGATGCAACACATGAAAATTCCCCAACATCTGGGGACCCAAATTGATACAGTCTGTGTTGATTTACAGTCAGGTAGGAACAGTGCTTAAATGTGATTTATGGTTGCTAGAAGTCTACCATACACTTATCTGATGTGAAAAAATGATTAAATAAATGACAATTATGTGATTATCTCTGAGATTTATCTGTGAAAATGCTCTTTTATTTTAGATATCGGCTGACCAAAATTGCTGTTGACTCTGCTGCTGGGCCATATCAGAACTACACCGTGGTTTTCTTGGGATCAGAGAAGGGAATCATCCTGAAGTTCTTGGCACGGACAGGAAACACTGGTTTCCTAAATGACAGCCTTTTCCTGGAGGAGATCAGTGTTTACAATCCTGAAAAGTGTGTATCTGATTCTTTGTACTTATGCATGGGTGACTTTGAACTTCTGATTTCCCAGAGAATAATTTGTCCCATGGAAACGGAAATGGTTAGAGAAGCCAAATTTTTTGAGTAATTTTAAATTGTTTAGGGAGGGGATGTCTGCTTATCAGTCTCTATATTGCAATAAGATTTTTTTTTTTTTTTTTTTTATTCAGTATGTGTAGAAAATAGCCCATCCTATGCAGCAGCTGATGGATAATTAGAAGTGAAGTTCTGGAAAGGAAGATTAATTTTCTAATCCTATAAAAAACCCTGATTCCTCTCCAAATAACTCAACAAGCAGCAAGCTGGTCTCTAAGGGAAATTTTCCGCATTTCAGTCTTCCTCAAATATGCCTAAGGGGGCTTTGAAGTGAGCCATAATCGTGCAGAAATTTCAGCTACTTTGAGTGCTGGAGAAGAATAAACACAAAAATGAAGGGCCGTCAGAAGCTTGTCTGGTGTGCTGTTGCTCTCCAATTCTTAACTACCCCATGCATTTTTAATATTTGCTTATATGTCTATCAGTATTTTTAGTGGCTGTTGTGTGTTCTTTCTCCTTGACTTGTTCAGTTCTACCTTTCTTATGGATTTTTTGATGGAAGTTTTTCGTGATTCTATTTTTTTCAGCCTGGGGGATAATTAAGGTTTCCCCTGGCTTCCCAGCAGAGCCCACTTGTAACCACACCTCACTTTCATTCAAATCAGGTGCAGCTATGATGGCATGGAGGACAAGCGGATCATGGGCATGCAGCTTGACAAGCCCAGCAGTGCGCTGTACGTCGCCTTCTCCACCTGTGTCATCAAGGTTCCCCTGGGACGTTGCGAGCGTCACAGCAAATGCAAAAAGTACGTGTTTTTGTGGAGGCTGTCGGAGGCCTGGGCAGTGGGGAAGCTGGAGCACTCATGCCACCTTGTGCTCTTCTCTCCCAAGGGCCTGCATAGCATCCAGAGACCCGTACTGTGGATGGGTGAAGGAGAGCGGGCTGTGCACGCAGACGGTCCTTGGCTCCAAGTGAGTAAGGGCTCTGGCTGGACAGGCTGCAGAGCTGTGGCAGTGGTGCCAGGCAGTCTTGGGCAAAGCTATTTGAAACATGAGGCTTTTAGAAAGGGAAAAATGTGGGAAGTGTTTGTTTCCACCTTATTTGCATTCACCTCTGAAATGTCTCACAAATTTTTTTGATGTGAACGGTCAGCTGATTGGTAACTGCTGAAAGAGGAGGAAGAAGAAAATGAAAGAGCTGTATTAAGGTCCACGTATTATTGAAAGGAGTGAATTGGATGGGTATGTCTGGACCAGCCTACACTGGAGCCATCACAGCTGATTAAAGAGGCAATAGAATCCAAATTAAATTACTGAAGTAATTTGTCCACTGAAAACAAAACCAGTCCTTCTAATTTACTGTGCATTACTAAGAGGAATAACAGAGTACAGTAAGGGCTTAAAACAGATTTAGAGAAGTGCTGGATCTCCCCTTGCTTAACAGTAGAATTTAATTATTTTATGATAATGAAAGTCTGTGAAGTTTACAGGGAGCAAACCCACTCCAGAGCTCGCATTTCTTGGCCACTTCTAACACACCATATGACTGCCCACTCTGAGCTATACAGCTATACGCCCTCATGGTAGTAGTGGAAATGTAGCACAGACATCACAAAGCCTTGAGAGCTCTACATCTGACACCACTTAACCCTGCTTCTCTACAGGTCCTTAGTATATAATGGAGAAGTAACAATCCCTGTGTTTCTGTCTTGTTCTTAATTTGCTGATTTCCCCCATCTGCTGGGGATGCTGTAGCTGTATGTGCCTGTATGTGCTTGACTACAAAAATGTGGGTTGTTTCTGATTTGACATTTGGTAGGATAATGTTAAAATGCACCTGTGTCCGTATCAGGTTTTTCATTACTCCAAAAGTGCTTAAGACTTCTTCAACTTCCAAGTCATTCAAAGACTCCTTCCCCTTCCAAGTAGGGGAATTCCATACCTCACTTCCAAAAGCAGCTCGCACTTTCATCAATAGATCCATCAAGACAGAGGCTGTGCAGCTTGCAGTGTTGAAGTCCAAAAGCGAGCAAGGCAGCTCATGTTCTGTCCAGTGCTTAGGAAGGGGGTCCAGATCAGCTGTGAAGAAATCTGGTGAAATTCTAATCTAGCCAAAAGGAGGCAGAGGTGTTAGGCACCCTCCTAGAGTAGGTGACAATGGAGCAGGTGTTATAAGAACATGGATTCAGAATGAGTTGTCTGCAAGGGTAATTATGCCTCAAGGGCAGGATCCTAATATAGACAAGGGCTCATATTTGGAAGTTTTCCAAGATTCTTGTCATTCACCTTTGACCACACAGGAAGCTGGAAGAACAGCTTCAATAGTTATCCAAAATCAAGGAGAGAGGTTGGGAGCCTAAGTTGAGCAGGTCAGCTAGAAAAGCATGTGTTTGTCAGTAGAGCCCGCTGAGTTTAGGGGAGTACTTTTTTTGTGGGGTGGACCTTTTGCCTTGCAGCCTCCTCCAGTGCTATACTAAGTGATTGCTGAAATGCAGGTTTTTTCCCTCAAGCACAGAACCTGCCCCATGGGTTGGCTTCCTTCTCACACCAAAGTGCCAGTGCACCCAGTCTGCTCTGTGCATAGGTTAAGGTAGGGTTACAGTTGTTTCTGATAACATCATATATTTAACAGTTTTAAAAATGCAGGTCTTTTCTTCCTTGGTAACGAGGCATGCAGTGGATTTTTAAAAAGTAGTAATATAGAGGCAAAGTATCATTAGAAGCCAGGAGTTCATTAGGCAATGATGAATAGCTCAAATGTGTAAGTTGTGGTTTTTCAGCCTTTGCGTGGAATTTCCAAAGAAATAGCCAGTTTCACAGCAGGGATTTGAACATGTGATAATTTCTTTCTGGTTATGCCTATGACTGTTGTTATTCATACTGTTCTGTTTCTTTCTATTATTTAGACTGGCATTTGAACAGGACATAGAACGTGGCAATACAGATGGCCTGGGTGACTGCCAAAGTAAGCAAAACTTTTACCTCTGTTTACAGTGTGTCACAGCATCCTTCTGAATGCCTCAAATCACCATTACCTGTCAGGCATTGTTTTGTAGCAACATAAGCCACAACAGGGACAGCAGTGTAGCTAATGATGTAGGTTAAGAAGAAGCACTGTTGTTCAAATGTGTTTGAGGAAAATAGCCCAGTTCACGTGATTTATACGAACACTGGACTTCGGAGTGGTTGCATAATGAGAAAAGCTCAGCTCTAGAGGATGCTGATTACAGCAATGGCATAATGAATTGGGGTCATTGTCTTTATTAGCGCTGGTGATTGGGTTGTTTATGTAAATGTACAGAAGTGGCTTGGTTTCTTAGTGTAGTCTGTGATTTGGACTACATTCCCATGCAGCACAATGAGACAGTGAAATATATCTTCAGTTTTGGATCCGGATCAAGAAATTACAACTGCTTAGTTTGTGAATATTAGGGAATTTTACATACAGTCTGGACAACCTCATGATATTAAGGGTCAGGTACTATTGGCACTGCCTAAGAAATTTTAATGGTAAACCTTAAGTACTGACAGCGTGAGCTGGAAGCTTAAACACGGTCTTTAAACATTTACAGTTTTGTACTGAAATGCGTAAAAGCGCATAGCTTGCACTGCATGGAAGGAAACCTTGCATGCTGATTTCTGAGCCTTCAGGAATACCAACATCTGTGTTCAGGACAGCTCTTGTTCCAAATGTTCTCACCAAGGCTGGTTTGATTCTGAGCTCCAAATATTACTTATAAACCTCATGAAATGAAGACTCACGTTCTTTTCAGTGTAATTCTCACTGATGGAATAAAACTGATGAAGCTGAGGAATCAATGTACAGTGAGAGAGTCATTACTTCTGCAATACAAAGAAAAAAAACAGAGCACTAGACTGTGCCATGGGACATAATGTGGGCCAGCTGCTCTGGAGAAAGCCAGAGCCTTCTCATGCCTTGCACATCCTTATTCAAGAGCCATTAATTATTCTAATCACTGTGCTTGAAGGAGCAGAAGGATTTCAGCCTCTGTCCCAAGAAAGGTTAATACAGACTGCCACAAAGATTTTTGAAGGAGGTGTACACATAGGCCTCCCCTCTGTCCCCCTGTAAAATGGGTTAGCACCAAAATCAGGCCAGTTCCCAGCTGGTGTATCTTTGCCCTTTTCAGCCAATTCTGCTCTCCTTGGGCAGATAGGTTAGGCAGGAGTGGAGCGTACCTGACGTCAGTTACATATCAAAGGAGGATAGGAAATTATCCAGGAACAGCACGTTGAGCTCATGGAGAGAGATCTGCTTCTGTGCAGAGAGCGACAAAGCCCATACCCTGCTTAAATCCCTCTTCAGCCCTGAATGATGCATTGAACCTTGACACTGCACAGAGGCAGATTTCATTTCCTGCTAACACAGCTGATTTTAATAGTTCATGTGATCTTGGGTCACCTGAGTTCTGTCCACTCACATTGCTGGCTGTTTCCCCTGCAATGCCTTGCCTTAGACTAGGGTTTGCAAAGAAAGCAGGGAGGACACTGGCCCTCCTGCCCCAGTACCTCCTGAACAGAGCTGGGCACGAGCACTTTCAAAGCCAGACATTAGTTTTGGGTATGTCGGAATATTAAGTTTGCCTGGGTCCTTACTGTACAAATCAAATGGTTATAAATATCAGCTGAAACATTAATGGCTATTAGCAGCAAACTACTTAAAAGGAAAAACAAGATAGAAATAATGATTTTTCCCCTGTTATTTGTCTTTCAGATTCCTTCGTAGCCCTGAATGGTAAGGAAGTTCTTAGTTTCAATATTTACTGACAGAAAATCTATTTTGGAGGAATCACTTTTTACTAAACTTCTTTATATATTCATACTTTTGTTATACTTAATGTTTCTTCCCAATTTATTTTGTTCATAGACATTTCAACTGCTTCACCTGATCATGAAATGTCTTACTACACAGTGTATGGTCAGTTTATGAGTGTTTCTTAAAATTCTCCCCAAATCCTTGTGTTAGATAGTAGTTCCTGTACTCAAATAGTTATTACCCAATTTTACTTGCTTTGTCTTGGTACTGAGGGCCCGATTCACTAATCACAACTAGGATTAAGTCATACCTCTTGATTTTCAATCCCTCTTTTCTTGTCTTCCCTCAAAACTGTCTCCATTGAATTAAAGTCAGATACAGCCTATTTTAATGGCCTGCCAGCAGACATGACTAAGAGCATGCTTCATCTGAACACTCAGAGAAACACTTGGGTACAGTGATGCATCTTATCTGTTCACCAGGACAAACAAGATAGTAGTTCACATCCCACTCATGAGCTGTACAGGCTGGTGCCATTACTGCTACAGCAGCCAGTCAGAGATACCTTAGGGAAAGCAGAACTATCCCTGGGTTACAGAAAGATCTCTCATAAGGAAAATTAGCCTTTTACTGGTGTGGTTTGGGATTAGATTATGCCTCAGTTCCTGAAGGTTCTTGTCACTTCTAGGGTGAGTCATTTACATTGTCCATTTAAATTTACGTAGCAAATTAAATGACCTGAACTGAAGAGGATCATTTCTGCAAGCCTAGAGTAGCAGGTTCCCATGAGGCAGCTGTTAATCTGTGCTCATAGTGCTTTCTACCACTTTGTTCTGCATATTTGGAAGTAGATTGTGCTGGTTCTTGGAGTGAAGAATGTCTTCATGAGGAGTCACTGCAGAATAAAAAAATCACTTTAAATTCAAACCTGGACATGCATTGCAATAGCTTTTCTTATAGACATCCTGAACAAAGACAAGCACACACAAACTAAGAGGATGTGTGGCCCTGCTGCCAAGTGAAGTCAATGGCAAAATTCCATGTGGGGTGGGAGCTTCCTTGTGAAGTTGCTTTCAGGCTGTACAGGACTAGCAGTTCATTAGGGCTAGAACAAATTCACCATATGTTTGGCTGAACACAGAAAGAGGTAGGTTGATGTGAACTTTTAATTGATCCTTTCATCTCATGCCTGCAGAGTATGTAGGTACAGACCTGAACCAATGACAGCTCAGTACAGCAGAATATAAATAACTGTAGGCACAGGAATGCTGTTCAACATTTGTAAAAACAAAATCAAATTCCCCCTACTGTTTATTACCAGGAAATGAAAAATGTGCAGGTGAAACTTATTTGAAAGTATGGTAATGAAAACCAGTGAAGGGAATGTACAAAATCAAAGGCAAGTTGAGACTTTCTAATATATGGACAGTTTCATCTGCATATATGGTTTATACTTTCTTTCATTGTGAACTTGCTGTATTTCTAATGCACAGAACAGTAATTAAAGAAGAGTAATAATGAAATCCATACTGCTGAATGTAAAGATAAAGAGAGTGGCTTTGGGCATAGTGCTGACGTGCCAGAAATGTTCTAGCTTTCCATAGTCTGCAGAGTTATAGCTGTGGAACTGGGGTTCTGGATCCTGCCAGCTAGAGTATTAGTAGGTCCTTTAGTAAAAACTGATATTTTAATCTGACAAAGGAAGCAAAAAATGTTTCAAATGAGCAGCAGAATGAAAAAAGCTGAACTCTAACAGAGTACAGTTAGCACAAGAGAGTACATTTTACTGTCCAGGCATGCCAAGCCCAAAGACAGAATCCATTAAATGAACCCAGCTTTTGAAGTAGGACCTTACAGATGGCTGCAACAGAGAAAAGCTGAGAAAACCCAGCATTGGCATGGGTTCCCATTCTTGTCCGGTCTTTTACAGCTTATTTCATTGACCTCTCTCAGGTACATCCTGGTAAGGATGCAAGTCTCTATGCAAGTCAGCTCCTCCTTCTATTGGTATAGTTAAAATGCCTATTCTGATATTTTTGCAGTTGGGCTTTCTTTTCTCCTACTGCTAGTCACCTCTATTGATCTTCCACATCAGGGGTGCAAAAATTCTAGGATGAGGTAGTACCCATTCTCAGTAAGCATGTTCATGTTTGCCAACTCTAGTGACTGGTCTGAGTAATTTTGTATCTTGAAAAAACAAGAAATTTATGAATGATGTATTTTGATGTTACTGAGTACAGTTTAATGCAAAGGTAAATGCTACACAATGGTTAAGATTAAGCTTCAGAACATTGGTACCAGAATACCAACCGAGTGAATGCTCAGTGGGCTAAATACACCCAAAGCCATCTGAAGCTCCAAAAGAAGTCATAAGGCTTGATTCTCTTCATTTCTGCCACTATAAATCATCCTACTTCAAGACACTTACTACCAGTCTGTAGCAGTGTGAATAAAAAGAGAACCAAGCCCTTAATCTTTGTATTCTTAGCACCAGCCTCCCCCTAAGTTTGGCACGTGGGCTCTCTTCCTAAGGCAGTCTCACATGATCAGTTGCAAGCATTTAAAGTGCAAACTGCACACAGGTGGCTCAAGTGACACTCAAGGAGAGGATAGCAGACTGAAGGTCTGGATGCAGAAAATTAGAGAGAAATTTTGCAGGAGCATAATTTAAACAAGGAGATTAAGCTAGATCACTGCAAAAATAGCAGCTTCAATTACCTTTTGGAAACATCAGTTCTTAGTGAATTGGGCCCTTATATTACCCCCTAGCCATAGTTCTTTCTTCCTCTATAGTATTGACTCAACTTTCCCTCTAATTGTCTAATTAGGTTGCTATAGCTGTTAATAGGATAGTGTGCAGATATCTTAACCTCTGAGATTCTAATGACTTGTGCATATTAGACCACCTATCAAATACTGATGGTATTGACTCTCTGTCTTTGTTTTAAACCTGAAAAAAAACCTCTTTACATTTTACAAGTGCACTTCAGAACAAGCTATAGTTACAGAAGTGCAGCCTTTCTGCATCATTATCTGTGCTTATAGGCACTAAGTGCTTTTACTCTGCCTCTGTTACTTGATTACAGCACTCCAAATGAAAAGTTTTTGCAAATAGTGGAAGCACCTAGACCAGATTTTTTTAAAGTGCGTCTATTTGATTTTTATGTGTTTTCTTTAAACAAAGACATTTGAAAAGCGCTATGTGTACAGTTATTCAGAGGCTTATTTTAAAACAAAGGCAGAATTGGTTTTTCAGATGTTTTTTGTATTAACCATTATTAACACAGAGGTACTGACCACATCTCAGATGTGCTAAAGCCTTGTTAAATTTCAGCAAAGCTTATTTGCAAGTCAGAATGGTAAAAAATGGTGTGATGGGAAAAAAAGGCCCACTACATGTTGCAAACTATTTAGTGCATTGTAAAGGCTTGATAATGGCTGTGTGTGAGAGGGCCAGGACTGGGTTGTCTGCCACTTCAGTCTTTTCTCTGTTTATGAGAGAAACTTAAGTAGCTCATACATTTGTGGTGCTCTGCTCAGAGGTGAAATTCACCCAGTGGGACTGGCTTTTCAGGCACTTACAGGACACTGTGATACTGCTTACAGGAGCAGGTTTAATCTACTCCTGCCCTGCTTCCTCAAAATCAAGAGGAAGAAAGTTTGTGTTGATTAGCTGTGTAAGCTTGCTTCTCAGTGTGAACTAGACTCATACATTAGTAACAGAGAGAGTATACTGATTCCTTTTATTTATGTGGAACTCCTCTCTACCCAGTGACCATCTGGTACATATTAATATCTTCACAAAGCCTTAGCTTTCCATTACCAGCAAGTTCTCTGTGTATTGGCAATATATGGTTCAAGAAAAAATAGTTCCAGAAAATAGTTCCTTAGGCATATACTTTCTCCAGATTTCTGTATTATGAAATTATTTTCTGTAACCATACTTATAGCTTTTCCTTAGAATTTCTCCTTTAAGCACACTTAAAAGTGCAAGTGTCTGGAAAGAGATATAGGACTATAAATGCATATCAAACACAGGTATATAATATGATTGCTACTTGGCAAGATTTTCTTCTCTTTTACCTCCTTATCAAGCAATGACTAATTGCTTTCTTATGTTGAGTGCAGCACTATGTGTAAGCTGACCAAATACTGTACACATTACTGGTGTTGCTGAATGGGGTATAAACTTGAAGACTGGAACCCCATGAATGCTTGCACTGTGGCTTAATCCTTAGGGAAAAGAAAACATGAAAATACCATAATTTCTGTTTTCTGCCCTGTTATTTGTCTTGTTCCTTGGGGATGGGCACAGGAGTTGACAAGCATAAAATAGTGTTGGAGTGAATGCTTTCAGGATCCAGCATATTCTTGCTTCAAGAGGGCGTGTGTTTTCAGTTGCTGGACCTCTTCCTGTCCCTTGGACACAAATAGTCCTGCTGCAGGACTGCTGTGTGTGGAGCAGGCAGCACATTTGGATTGGAGTCCTCTATCTGTGTGTTACCAATGTTCCCAGCCATGCTTATGGAAACCTTTCAAAAGAAGATAACATTTGGCTTAACTCTTTTCTATTTGGGCAACATTCAAAACTGTCTTAACAAAATACAGTATTCAATTTGCTGTTTTAAGGAGAGATGGCTGGGAGAAAACACTCTTTCTACCATGAGAGAGTAAAAAATCCACTGCCTTTGTCAGTATAAAACCTTCAGACTGACATCGAGAGCTAAATTATGTTAACAATTACCTGTAGTTGAAGGTTGGCTTCATGGTGAGAACAATGTAAATTTAACCAATTTTGCTTTCTAAACATACAAGTTAAAGGAGTTCATTATGGACATGCCCCATGCAAAACATAGTCCAAAGTACTCCCATATATAATTCAATTCAGTAAATCAAAAGAGCTCCTTGAAAGCTTACAGAGGAACACAGACATTTTTTAACTCTAAAGACATTAATATTCAACAGGACTTCTTTAAATCATAACAGCATCTTAATAGAAGTTGCTGCATTTTTCTGACTTCATCAGAAGTTACATACCATGAAGCTGGTGAATGGGCAGGATAAAAATGAAGCATGTGGGGGCATCTAAAAGCTTGAGGACACTAGTGGCCAGCATTTCAATTTTTGATTCTTGGAGTAGAATTGAGGATCTGGGTTCATCATCTCTCTCTAGACTTCTGAGAGCTAATTTGGATGGATTTAGAAGCCATTTAAAGCAGCATGTTTTAGATGCAGCTTTCAAAAGCTTTGTGCATACCCAGGAGCTGGTTAAAATAAACTACAGAAGCACAGGCTCTACCTGCCCAGCTCTGTGCCTTCTCTGTGAGGCTTGAATTTCAGCTCCTCGTGTTGATCTATCTCTGCCCCAGTGAATCTCAAATTATTTTTCTGAGCAGTGAAGCAAGATCAAGGAAAGGAGCAGGGAGAGGGTCCCTGCTAGGGCAGCCTGTAGCCTGGTGATTGGACTCCTCTCCAAGTGAGACTCATCTTAGAAAGGAAAATTAATTTACTGGGCTTTTCCAAAGGAGACAGGAGAAAGGAGGGCTGCTGTCATTCTGCCTAGTGTTATCTGACAAAAAAATGTTATATTCCATTCTGTCTGTGAATAATCCAATTCTGTTAGTTTGTGTTTGAGCATGTGTCAAAAATCCTTTTTTTAATGGGCTCTTTAAGAAAAGTAGGTATGGGGATATAGTTACTCCACATAAAATTAAGGAGGCCCAGAACTCCTTGAATCCTGATGAAAATAATTCACTTTTTCACATGTGCTGGAAGGAAACTTTCAGAATGGTTTTGAGGTCGAAATGTCATGGTGTGGATGGCATTTGGTGCCCTCTTGCCAAAGCAGTTGAGCCACTGGAAATTCCATGTGGGAGCTGTCTTTCAGAGACAGTAGACTCAAGTATTTTAGGTGCTGATGTACTTTTAAGATCCAGCTGCAAAGAGTGTATGAATCTACAAACACGCCCCTGTCCCATCCAAGCCACCTTTCAAACTGTGCTGTGTTTCCAGTGGGGCAAGTTATGTGAATGCTCTGTGTGTTGGGATATGCGAGAAGCGGATCAGTCTTGTTCAGGGCACCAGTAACAATGTCTAGAGCATTTGCAATGGAAAAAAGGCCTGTGAGATCTCAGTCTCAGCTGCTGCTGGAGTCAGGTGCTCTTGGGCAGATCCGCAAGGTGAGGCATTGTCTGCGCTGTCGCTCTGAGCAGAAATAGTGTTCAGTCTTGTGCTTATTTCAGAGCCGTTTTGGACCATCAGCTCAGACAGGACCCATACTGATGGTGCAAGCGGGTGTGAGCAGCTGGCCCGGGACATTTCCCATCTGGAGAGGAATGCCGCAGTGTGAGCACGCTGGTTAGGCAGTCCTTCATTCCCCTGGGGGCATGAGGTACAGTGCCTCATAATGTCACCATTTCGTAGTTCTTCCAGTGTTCCCATTCAGTTTCAGCCATTTTGGACATTGTTCTGTTTCAGTTGATTTTTTTGTTTGCATTTTGACTGAGCCAGTATCAGACAGCATGGGCTGACACTTCGGTTTCTGACAGGCATGTGTACTGAATCCAGCCAAAGGATGCTTGACTCAGATAACGTGATCTTTCATATGCATTTAACTCTTTTGAGAAGCACAGAACTGCCAGCTCAGTGGCAGCACCTTTTAGCACCCTGATCTGGAAGGTTCAAATTCCCTCCTCCTTTGGAGTCATGATTTGAAGGACTTTTGAAAAGTTGCTCAGCCTAAGACAAGACGTTCACCCGTCACAGAAGCAAAGCAGTGCGTACACCCCTGAGCATGGGGAGGTAGCGTGGTAAGTTACTAATGAGACTTGTCTTCCCTGCCTGTATTTATAATATAAACAGGACACTCCAGTTCCCTAGTCCCAAGCACCACCACTTCTGACTCTCGCGCTCGACAGGGTTATGATGCTAGGGGACGCATGCTGGATTGGAAGGATCCGCTTGGTTCATCTGAAAATACAGATCCATATGTGGCAGTTTCATCCCATAATCATCAAGACAAGAAGGGTAAGGCCTTGGAAATGACATCCTGTGGTGAGGAGGGAGGGGGAGGAGGACTAAAGTGTAACTGCTTCCAGCTGGCTCAGAGTAACATGTAATGAAACTCCTGTGCTATAATTAAAAGCTTATCGTAAAGTCTGAAACTAAACAACCAATCTCAGATAATTCACTGCCTGAGGAAACCACACAAAACAAACAGAAGTGTGTGCCTTTATAGAGAGTTTTGTGCATGTGGGAAGGAAGGAAGGAAACAGGGAGGATTTAACTCCCTTTAAATTTGATCTGACCTGGTCTCTGACAAAGCAAGACCCATGGCTTCCTATTGTTCTTAAGGATGCATTTTTATATTGCCTTTCTCTGAATTCCCAAGGCAGCACAACAGTTCTCAGCTAATTTCACATAATTTTCATCTCTCAACAACCATAGAATCCTAGAATCACAAAGTCCTTTGATTTTTGATTTTGCACAACAGTTCTCAGCTAATTTCACATAATTTTCATGTCTCAACAACCATAGAATCCTAGAATCACAAAGTCCTTTGATTTGGAAGAGACCTTAAAGGTCATCTTGTTCCAACCCCCCTGCCATGATCAGGAATATTTTCCACTTGACCAGGTTGTTCCAAGCCTCCCCCCCATTCAACCTGGCTTTGAACAGTTTCAGGAATGGGCCATCAACAACTTCTCTGAATAGCCTGTTGCAATGCTTCACCACCCACCCTCAGAGTAAAGAATTTCTTCCTTATATCTAATTTAAACCTGCCCCCTTTCAGTTTGAAGCCATTTGCCTTGTCCTGTCATTACATGCTCTTGTAAAATGTCCCTCTCCAGCTCTTATATATCCCCCTCTAGGGACTGGGAGGCTGCTGTAACATCTTCCTAGAACCTTCTCTTCCTCATCCTGAACAACCCTAGCTCTCTCAGCCTGTTCTCCAGCCCTCTGATCATCTTTGTGGCCCATGTCTTTCCTGTGCTGGGGACTCCAGAGCTGGATGCAGGGTTCCAGGTGGGGTCTAACATGAGCAGAGCAAAAGGGCGAAATCTTCTTCCTCACCCTGCTGGCCACGCTGCTTTGTGTGCAGCCCAGTATACATTTGGCTTTCTGGGCTGTGAGTCGTCCTGGCTCAGGCACTTTGCACTTGGCCTTGTTAAACCTCCAGGTTCCCATGGGCCTACTTCCCAGTCTTGTCCAAGGCCCTCTGGATGGCATTCTTTGCATCCATTCCAGGTGCCTCAGTCACACCACACAGCTTTATGTCATCTGCAAACTTGCTGAAGGCTCACTCAATGCTGCTATGTCATTGATGAGGACATTGGTCCCAAAATTGACCCTTGAAGGACACTGCTTGTCACTGATTTCCATTCTGACCTCAGGCCATTGACCACTGTCCTCTGAATAAAGATGTCCAGTAAATTCCTTGTCCGTTGAATTGTCCACCCATCAAGTCTATCTCTCTCCAGTTTAGAGAGAAGGATGTGGGGGACCAAGTCAAAGACCTAACAGAAGTTCAGATAAATGATATACATAGCTTTTTCCTTGTCCGTCGATGGAGACTCTCCACCAGGTTGGTCAGGCAACACTTTCCCTTGGTGAAGCTGTGCTGACTGCCTAGAACAGCTCCCTCTGTCCTCCATGTGCCTTAGCAGAGCTTCTAGGAAGATCTGTTCCATGATCTTTCCAGGCACAGAGATAATGGGACTAACAAGTTGATAGTTCCCAGGGTCCTTCTGTCTACCTTTTTTTAAGATGTGTACAATATTTCCCTTTTTCCAGTCATCTGACTGCCCCACTTTTCAAATATCATGGACAGTGGCTTGGTAATTAAATCAGCCAATTCCTGGGACTCTGGGATACATCTCATAACATTCTATAGACTTTGGAATGTTCAGGTTCTTCAAGTGGTCCCAAACCTGGTTTTCTGTTACAGTGGGATAGACTTTGCTCCCCCAGGTCCTGTCTTGTGGAGCAAACACTTGAGAGAAGTGGGAGGAGATGTTGCAAAAGAAGACTGAGGCAAAATTTTTGTTGAGTGCTTCAACTCCTCCTCATGCCAGCCTTGCTAACCAGGTGGAGTACACCTTCTTCAACCTTCCTTTTCTGGCTGATCTATGTCTGTAGAAGCCCTCCTTCTTATTCTTGGCTTCCCTTGCCTGCTTCAGCTCCAACTACACCTTAACCTTCCTGACCTCACCTGTACACAACCAGACCGTGTTCCTGTACTCTTTCCATGACACCTGTACCTTCTTCCACCACTTGTGCATTTCATTTTTGCCCTTTAATTCAGCTACCAGGTTCCAATACAGCCATCCAGTCTCTCGTCTTTCTTGTCCAATTTCTTTCACCTGGGTTTACTTGCTCTTCCCTCTCGGGAGATATCCATAAAGATCTACCAGCTCTGTTCTGCTCCCTTATCCTTGAGGGCGGTTTCCCAGGGGGTCCCTACTGACTTCCTTGACGTGCTGAAAGTTTGCTCTTCTAAAATGCAGAAGAGCATTCCTCTTCTTCCTTTACTCTTTGTCTGACCCATATGCCTGAGGACTGTGACCTCCACCAGGGCATGATGACTGCAGCCCAGGCTGCTGCCACTCAGGACATCTCCAATCAGTTCACTTGAGCTGGTGACCATTAGGTCCAGTATCCCAACACAGACAAGGAAAACCTGCTCTAGTTTAACCACTGAAGTAAAACTTGGAGTAGTCCTAGTCACCAAGCCTCAGTCCCGCTGTCTTCAGTGAGACCTGAGCAGAAAATAGCTTTTAATATGTGGTCGTTCGTGTACATTGAATTATGCATAATTGACTGCTCATGGAGAGGGTCTATGTTTTGTTTTTCACACACCAAAAGGTTGGGATTTAGGTGTTATTTGACAGTGCTCAGACCAGTGCTGAAGCACAGGGGTCTAATACAAATCCTGTCCTTTGGCCTCCACTCCCCCTTTGCCATTCATATAGAGAATTAGGCAGAGAATTGCTAAAATTTGCTGCTTGAACATAGAGAAGAAGAGCCTTTTCTCCTGTGTAGATGGTGGTGCCCCTCATTGCATCTTGACCCTCATCATTCTTTCAGCTCCTTTTAATCTGTATCTCAGAGACTTTAAAATGGTTCCTTTTAAACAGGGGAGTTAGGTTCAAATAGCTCCACTGCCTAGAGAGATCTGAATCCTTGTTATTCTTCTCCAGGGTGTTCTTAGATCTCTTCTTTCAATCTCTGTTCTGTTGAAGATGTTTTTCTCTGTGTGGACTAATTAAGTACTCAGTGTGTCAGAAGGAAGATGAGTATGAGCAAAACTCACTTGCTGAGTGGTTAGGGCACTCACCAGGGGCAGGAACACACGAGTTCAGTTCTTTCTGCTATGAATACTTGATATAAAACACTTAAAATATTAATTGAAATGTGGATTCCAGTCTCTATTGTTCATGCATTTTATATGAAAAACTCATTAGACAAAAGCATCAGCTGTTCCTAGAGAAGCTACTGGCAATGGCAGACCTGATGCTTTGCATTGTCTGCCTAAACTAGTAATTTACTAGTTTCCCCCTATTCCTTCCCCTCCATCTGACCCACTGAATCTTGAATTCTCAGCATTAGTTGTGGCAGCTTTCAGCAAGGAGTGATGAGCACATTAACATCACAGAACAGTCTTCAGCAGAGCTACATGAACAGCTGCTGGTGGTCTGGACCCAGACTGTGACCTCAGTGCCTGTTATTCAAAACAGCCCCAGATAAACCATGCCTCCCATAGTCCAGGGATATCCAGGGTTACTAAACTTCCCAAGATTGACCTCAGAGAGCCTTCACAGCTCCTAATCATAAAGGCAATGGGCATCAACTGGCTGGCCCAGCAGAGACAAATCCCGAAGCACTTTTCCAGTTGAGGAGGTCAGTCAAATTAGGCAGAAGGTACAGTAAAACTTCTTGACATACCATGGAAAATATTAATCTAGTAGCCTTGACTTTTAAGCTTATTGGCAGGAAATTGAATATGAAGATTTAAATTCCCACAGACAGAGGACGTAAACTTGTCCCACTCCTCCCAGCTAATGAGCTCTTCCTACAGAAGAAGGGAAAAAATACCCCTGTTTAAACAATTTCTTTGTAGAGCTTAATCCTGTGGACATTCTGGGAGAATTACTGCAAAATCTAAACCAAAAAAGTGAATTTCTAAAACCTGATCAGTCTTACCTGTGTGTTAAGCACAGAACCTCTTTGCACCCTGCAGACCTGGGGGCTTCTGAGCTTTGGCAGATGAAGAATTTCAGGTGGCTGCAACACACAAACTCAGTAACCATAATTTCAGGTGCAAGGGAGTGACAGTACTGAAGATGAAACCTCACACTCCTAATTCCAGTTTAAACTCAGTTTGAGATATCATCTTCATTTTTTAATTCCTAATTCCTTGCTCTTCAATTGTAGAAAGGCAGTTAAGAAAAAGGGATGTCCCTTACATAGTAGAGGGAAGGCAGATAAACCTGTATGCCCTCCTTAAGATGGCATGTGATTTACCTAGTACTCCTCTTTCCTTTCAGCAAAAAGGAATTTTTTTCCTGACAGACAAAAAATTAGGATCTTTTCTGTCTTTGTCCAATTGTTGGTAATACCTGTTATACAAAATACTTCAGGCAAGAGGACATTTCTTAGAAAATCCAGTTTTCCCATTTCTGAAAATAAATGGTATCTTTCTCTTGTCCACCCTGAAAGAGGGGGAAGGAAGGAACCCCTGAACACAACTCCTCTGCTGCTGCCAGACAAGGGAGTGGTGTCAGAAACCACCAAAAAGTGGAAGAGCTGCCTCTTACGTACCCTGAGGAATGCAGAGATGTGCATGCATTTAAATAGAACTGTTTGTTATGTGTGGGTCCCTGCTTCACAAGTCTTCTGAACAGCAATGCTTAATATATGGAAAACTAGCTCTTAAAAGCATCTTGTATGCCACTAGCAGCTTTCAGAAGAGCATGCAGTGAAAATATTAATAAATGTATAGCTGTTGGATTCTAATCATTTTTGCT